ACTTATCTAATATCAATTACAAATAACATAACAATAACATTGATTTTCAATAATCTAAATTTAAAAAAAACATAACCCGAAAAAAAGAAACGTCAAAAAATTAATTCTTCTTCTCCTTCTCAACTAAAATTATAGATCAAGTGGTTTTAAAACTAAAATATTATAACGTGGCGCCATCTATCGTAAGAATCTTAAACTAAACACACTGGCAACCATAGAAAAAGCTGGCAACGTTGTCAATAGCCTAGTGACGTAATTAGGAGATTTTTTTGTAAATATCTCGAAAACGGTAAACTCAATTGAAATTCCGATTTCACAGAAATGTTTAAAATTACAAAACGCCTTGAATAAAACCTTAAAAAGTATAAGTCAGAAAAAATTTAACTACCCCATTGAAAACTTTGTGTTTTAAGTCGGTGCTTGTTAAACAATGGAACGATTGCCTTTCTGCAAGAGACAAATGGTTTTACCGGTATTGCCCTTGTTTAACAAATTGACTAATTGACGTTTTGCTAACCGTGCTATTGGCTTCTTCAGAACTATATATCAACAATACCGAAAGACCTAAAAACTACTCTATCCCTTTTATGTTACGAAAAACCAACTATTTGTTATCAGTCGGGTAAAGCTTACCTTACATTTTAAAATCATTCCAGCTTTAAATAAATTTTTGATTCACAAGTCAACAACACATTTAACTCTGAATGAGGACCAATTAGGACCGCGCTGTCCACCTGCAATACGCAATACGAAGCGGGTTTAATAGGTTTCAGAAAAAGTAATTCATTGGACATTTTCGTTAGAGATTAAGCAGCTTTATAAAGCTATAGTGAGTAGGTGATTAGTTTCATTACACGGTTGTTGCTTTCGAATTAATTTTTTCAAACCATAAACAAGGCAATTATTTATGTATAAGGCGTAATGAGAGTGCAGCTTGTACAGAAAACGATGATTAGAATGTTTGAATGTATTAAATATTGATAGCTGGGCATGATGCTTTCAGTTTTGTTAAGTTAAGGCGCTTAGTTATCATGTGCTACCACTTATCTAGCTGGACCTGGACGCACAAAGGCCAAAGCCATTGCTGCCAATTTAAATCCCTTGAATAAAATCAAATCGCTCAAACGGACGATCGCAGGACACCAGAGCTTTCTCTCTATCTCTCTCACATCATACAATTAAATCTTTTACTCTACATTAGGGTGTCCCTTATTTTTATTTTTTTACGCATACCCTCTAATTATATTTATTACGTGTTTATATACTCCCAGTAAAAATTTCAGCTCATTCTATAAACGGGAACCCGTGCCGACTTGCATCTGAACCCTCCGTTAGCCAACGTTAGGCGCGCGGTATTTTGTAACACGGTTGGTCGCGAGGTCTTCGATCGTAAGTCATTTTGTGTTTGTTATTATGTGACCCTTATATTATAAATTATTGACAAATGTTAAAATATAATTTTATTTATGTGTATACTTTGATAAAAATGTATATTTTCACAGGGAGTGGCTAGTTACCCGGAAGGGTCTGGTGAATAGGCCGTAAACTCTGAAATTGATAAACTTAATGGGTTTTACTCTAAATAACTAAAAGAGTCTATTGTGAGAGATGACTACCGAAAACTTATTGAACTGTCTGAAATATTTTTTGGAGGACATCAAGAAAAGACATGCTTATAAAAAGCTGAAATTTCATATAACAGTATATTTTAGCAATAATAATTAGTATATTAATATATTTAAGGGATAAAACCAACTAAATTAGTGAAACAAATGATAGAAACAAAAGCAATAAAATAGGAAAAATATTCTTACCATGAACAACCACATTCTTCTTTATTATTGAAGGAAAATGCAAAAGTCGATAATTCCCGTTTGAGGGGGGAATCTTATTCAAAATTACAACCAGTCACTGACCAAGGACTGTAAATTCTTTTGATTTAGGTGTTTCAAAACTTGTGAAGACAAAATATTTAAAACTTTTATTTTTTTCAACCACCCTATAGTGTACAGTAACTATTCAAGGCTACTTTAAGCCTGCTTAATGCAGTTCTATGATTTATTTTTGTAAAAAGTAATTGTAATTGTTACAATTTGTAAAACAGTTGATCTAGTTTGGTAAAGGTCGAATGAGAGCTTGAACTAAAAACACCCTAGACACTTATTTTCAACATTCGTCGACATTTTAAAGCGTCATGAACTGAAAACAAATTGACAATGTTAATTCTGATGGTAACAGATGTGTCTTATTTATTTTCATTGCCTGCCTACTAAATAACTAACTGCATCGCTTAATTAACGATAAGCTTCGAAAACTTTATATTAAAATTTACAAATTAAGCACAACAACAAAAAAGATGACACAGATTAAAAATTTCTTTTAAAGATTAATTGCCTAGTAAAAATTCGTCAATTAAGGAAAAACTAGACAAATAATAAATAATTTCTTGACTTGACTGAAGCCGCGTTGTAGAATAAATTTTACTGGCTGGCTGTTTGAAAAAAAGAACTGGAGGGTAAATGCTCGCCCCTTTCAATTTAAACCCATATATTCTCTCTTATCTTCTCGTCTCTGACTCAGGTGTTAAGTTTAATAAGCCAAAGTTTTTACGTAGCAACTTTAACCGAATTATACTCTTGCTTTTCGTTTAATAAAAAAAATAATTTAATGAAAATATGTACATTTAATGTGACATGTGATTTTACAATGATTGTTATGATTGGAGAGGAAATCATAGCGATATACAATGATGCCGGTGTCTGTTAGCTTTCTTGGGGTCTGGTTCAGACGTGATACCAAAGATAAACATACGCACAAACAATGGCGTCTCGAAATATAATTACGATACATTGTCGCATATAGAAGAGTTCGTGTTAAGTAAATACAAAAGGTATTTAAAATGCTCCCCTTATGTTTTCCAGACTCGCAAAATTACGACGTCATAAACAATAATGAGCTTGAGTGTATATTACTTTAAAAGAATAGAGGCTAATTTGAATGTTACGGGATACATAGGAAGCGTGTCAACCCTAAAAGCAGCCAGTTTTAACTCCATTTACACACTCCATATACATATGGAAATATCTTAATTCACAAATACAATTTATACTATTGTTTAATACATTAAAATAAACATGCTTTTCTCACAAATTAATAAGACCAGTTGGGAGCAAGTAAGCAACAATAAAAATAAAATAAAAAAAACAACTGACACACTTTACCAAGTGCAGGAACTATCTGACCAGGACACGGACAATGACAATAACGAACAAGACGAAGACCTCGACTAGGAAACTACACCCATGCAGCGAAATAACAACTCCCCAACTCCAAATAGTAATCCCAAATGTTTGGAGTAATACTAATCGACTGGTACTTAGTTTTAAGTCGGCGTAATTGTCCCCCAAAAACCAACAAACGTCTATCCCTCCTGTCCCTCCTCCTCTATACCCTACTGGGCGTATAGCATCGGCTCGGCGAACCCGAGAATGGCTATTAAAACTATTCGCATGTCGCTCTCGAGCCCCAAATAGGGGACAGTACGGAACGCAATGGACATTCGCACCCAGCAAACACTGGTGAAGCCGTGCAGTTGCTGGGGGCGAACAAAAATCGGCGTAAGTAAACATAGGCCTGTAAAATGTTTTGGTCGCTTTAATATCGCTTTTGTTCATTGGAGGCAGATAAAAACAGTGCATATTTTTGTCAAAGAATGGATGTTTAAACCAGAACTACTAGGTAATCAAACAAATGTTAACGGAGTCAGTTTTTCAAATTTAACGTTCGTTTTTTTTTCTAAATGGAGAAAGGGACATAAAGACCCAATCGAAGTTCTTTTGTTAAAGTTGAAGACGTAGCGGCATGCACAAAGAAAACTTTCAGAGAAATGCATTGCGGTGTGTCTGTGAAAAATAGAACGACTTAAAAGCAAATTCATTACCACCCAATTAAACAATTAACTCTACTATCAATATAACAAATTGAGTTGCAAAAAATCGCGATTTGAATGCCTAATGTCCCAAATAATATATACATTAAGGCATTTTTAAATTAATATGCTCTATTCCCTTTAATTCCGCAATCTTGGGAATTTTACCGCCATTTTTGATTTTAGCAGTTAATTTATTTTACTTAAGATTGTCTTCAATTTCCACCGTAAGTCATTAATCTTTTAACCTAAGCTCCGCTCAAATACCTTAAGGGGGCTTATTCTTAAGTGTGGCAAACATTATCATACTTTTTTGTATACCTTGTCGAGGTGTCTGGTCTTTCTTGTTCAGCTAGTCATGTCTGTCTTGTAAGTCTAGACTAAACTTTAAGTTAAAAAATAAACTAATTTAAGTTACAACAAACTAAAATGATATACAAGTTGTATAAACAAACATTTTTTATCAACAATTTGTGTATTTGAGACTTAATATACAAATTTCTTTTTTTTTGATTTATGTCATTTTTATTGGGGCAAAGAGAAAAACAATAATGATGTTAGCTATAAAAATTTAATTCATAAAATGCAGCTGTCAACATTAATAATATTATTTCAAATTTTGGGTTGGGATTTCTTATGGCTTTTAAGGGAGAGAGAGAGCTAAATGTAAAAACGTGTTAAAAGTACGCTTACGGAATTTTAAGTATATCCTGAATTGTCCGAGATTTTCACATTACAATCGGATCAAATAAATTTGGTGGGATTTTTGATTTTTCTGTAACGAGCCGCAATAAATTTTACCCAGGACCAAGGCCAATGGACCCCATGTATCATGGAAATAACCTTAAGTGCACATTTGAAAGAGAAATAAAAACTTAATTTTCTTTAATAAGTGCCCATTTAATAAAGGTAATATTAAACAAACTGTGCCTAAAAAATTGCTTGCTCGTTCTCAAATAAAACAGTCAATTTAATAAACTAAACAGACATTAGGGCCGGATATCATGTGTGTTTAATTTTCCTATATGAAGAGGGTGGAATGGAATAAAGTGAAAGTATTTATGAGACCTACCTCCGGCTAGAATGGCCTGCAAAAGAGTGCAAAAAAGGAAAGTTGCTTGCGTGGCTGTCATATTGTGAATCTGGCGCGCACTCTTCCTATTTAAAAGCCCCATCCTCGCCTCTGTCCAACGGTGCGCCTATTTCAACCATACCGGGACCTGAGAAAAAAAAGCAAAAGATGAACATTTCTACAAATACGATGGGATAGTCATCATTTTTTCTATTCCAACTACACAAAAGTAATTTTTCATAACATTGGGGTAATATGCCTTAGTTAAGTTCGACTTATTGTCGGCTGTGTTTAGTTTTAGATCTTTTAAGCTAACCTACGAGGTGTGTTCAGAAAATATCGGGAATTTTCGTTTTTTGAAACAAATATTTATTTATTCGTCTACATTAATGTTGTCGCCTTCAAAATATTCCCCATTGGATATTATGCACATGTGCCAGCTCTTCTTCCAATATTCGAAACACTTCTAAAACTCTATCTTTGGGATAGCCTTTAGTTCTTTCAGCGATGCGCTTTTAATGTCATCTATGCTTGCAAAACGACGGCCCTTTAAGGTTCTCTGTATTTTTGGGAATAGGAAAAAGTCAGTCAGAGGCATGTCTGGCGAATATGGAGGCGGGGCATCATTACAGTATTGTTTTTGGCCAAAAATTTTGTTCAAAATTTAACAATTTTAGAACAAATTTTGCTGCCACGCGTTTCATACCCAAAACATTCGAAAAAATTTCATGGGATGAGCCAATCGATATACCAACATTATCAGCGACTTCTCTGATGGTTTATAACCATTTCTTTCACTTTTTCCATGTTTTTATCGGTTGTTAATGCGTTCGGTTCGTTCGTCATCTTCAACGTCTTCACGGCCATCTTGGAAACTCTTATACCACTTGTAAACTCTTGTTTTACTTATAGCAGACTCATTTATTTCATTTTTTAAGCAAAATTGGATACAAATTCTTTGATCCATTTCTTTTAACGAACAAAAAATCGCCGAGCTCATAAAACACGTCTAACCTTAGCGGCTGCCACAGACAAAGTAAACAATGAAAACATCCAAAGTTTTTATCATACTTCGGGGGCATATATACCAACATAATAAAGAAAATTTTATGACAACCGGACCCTCCGAACCATCGAAATTTAACAATTCCCGTTATTTTCTGAACACACCTCGTATATTTTCTACAAATACATATTGTACATATTTTTAAAACATTTAGTTAAATTTTCGTCCCATCGTACACACAGCAATAAATTCCTAAATAAACGCCCCGCCTTTATAGACCCTAACTTTTAAGACCGAATATCTTCCTTCAAACACATATACCACTTTTGTACATTTCAGAAATCCTAATAAACAATTGTATTTCACCGTTTCACTAAAATTTATATGGTTAATTCTCACGAAAACTTAAATTAAGATAAAAAAAACTATTTTAGCTTAACTTTTCAGCTAAATAATGTATGTTATCTTTATATAAATCAAGATAGTATTTAATTAATCTTAACCCTTTCAACGTTTGTACTGCTATTTAACTCAAACCTTTTGCTTCACATCTTACTAAACAACTTAATATTATTTCACTATTAACTTTTGTGAAAGTTGTCATCTTCAAAAAATTTCCGGTATACCCTAAAAAGTTCTTTATTGTACCAAAGTTGCGACGCTTTTTTACAATTTACACAAGCAGATAAGGATTTCGCCTGGATGAGGCTATTATTACAGTTAAATTTTAAAATGAATCTATTGTGTCTTTAACATTATATTTGTCAATAAAACAGTTGTATTTTCCTTTAAAGGTTACTTACAAACACAATGATACACTAAAAAGGTAGTCATTTCTTATAAGCACCTTTTTTAGATATAAAGCTACAACATTTCAAATTGAATTCGCGTTTTTTATTCATTTAGTTTTAATAGAGGAAGCGTTAAATTTTAACTTCCATAAATTCTTAGTTTATGTTTATTGTTAATAAAAATTTGATTTTATGATCTCCATTCAAGGCAAATACTAAAAATATTATATTATCATATACATGAATATACTTACTCCAAATTATATTATAATTGTACATAACTTAAATTTTTGATATACGAGGTGTGTTCAGAAAATAACGGGAATTGTTAAATTTCGCGGTTTCAGAGGGTCCGGTTGTCATAAAATTTTCTTTATTATGTTGGTATACATGCCCCGAAGTATGATAAAAACTTTAGCTGTTTTCATTGTTTACTTTGTCTGTGGCAGCCGCTAAGGTTAGACGTGTTTTATGAGCTCGGCGATTTTTCGTTCGTTGAAAGAAATGGATAACAAAATTTGTATCCAATTTTGCTTAAAAAATGAAATAAATTCTGTGAAATGTTAACAAAGGCCTATAGTGAGTCTGCTATAAGTAAAACAAGAGTTTACTTATACCACTTGTGGTATAAGAGTTTCCAAGATGGCCGTGAAGACGTTGAAGATGACGAACGCCCCGACCGCACAAGCACATTAACAACCGATAAAAACATGGAAAAAGTGGAAGAAATGGTTATAAACCATCAGAGAATTCGCTGATGATGTTGGTATATCGATTGGCTCATCCCATGAAATTTTTCGAATGTTTTGGGTATGAAACGCGTGGCAGCAAAATTTGTTCAAAAATTGTTGAATTTTGAACAACATTTTTGGCCAAATACAATACTGTAATGATGCCCCAGCCTCCATATTCGCCGGACATGCCTCTGTCTGACTTTTTGCTATTCCCAAAAATAAAGAGAACCTTAAAGGGCCGTCGTTTTGCAAGCATAGATGACATTAAAAGCGCATCGCTAAAAGAACTAAAGGCTATCCCAAAGATCGAGTTTTAGAAGTGTTTCGAGTATTGGAAGAAGAGCTGGCACATGTGCATAATATCCAACGGGGACTATTTTGAAGGCGATAACATTAATGTAGACGAATAAATAAATAGTTGTTTCAAAAAACGAAAATTCCCGATATTTTCTGAACACACCTCGTATTTATGTATACGAGTATAGAAAAAGTTCCATCTTTCTTTCGTTTTCCAGACTTTAAGAAAATGAATAGGGTTGCAGATCACTGAGTAGCGTATCAGCTTTTATTAGCTTAGATCTTTCAGCGTTCTATAAAACAAAGTTCTTAACTTCATTTCATTCACTTACTTCAGTCACACATAAACTCAGTATGAATCGATATGGCAAATCGCGGGGTCCTACTTTTAAAGGTAAAAAAATTCGTATATTCTAACCCATGTTTGATATTGATAAAAATAGAAAGGTGTCCAATCAGCAGTCTAGAGTTGGAGTTGGCTAGGAAATGCTTTATCATTTAAAATATTTGACACCAGAGACTTTTTTCCATTTTCAAGCTTAAAGAGGTTCTTCAGGAAGATGAAGATGGAATTGTTGGGTTTTGTTCATCCATCTTAGATAATAAAATACAAGAGAATAATAATTACTTATCTGGCCAACACACGGTATCGTAAAAACGTTGATCAAGCAATTTTGTTGCAATGTATGTCACAACGATTAATCTAAATCAGGTAAACGATTACCTTAACTCAGTAATTAATGTTAAATCAACCAGATCTTCAGTTTTTTCTTTTTGTGTTCGAGCTTGGTAATTAATTTTCGGCAGACCCAAATTTAAATCGTATTGTCTGTAACAGTAGAAAATTTATTTCTACTTGTTTTCTGATTTAACATGCTTTTTGCTAGGATTAAAACATGAAAATGGTTAAAAACATTTTAGTAAAAATTTCGATTATATGTATTTACGTAATAAAATAATAATTGTCGTTTCTTTAGCGTTTGACAAAAAACTATTGAATTTAAGGTTTGAATGACCCATTCGTAATTTAAATTAAATTTAAAATTCAAACGTGATTTTATTTCATAACAGTGAATGGAGATTCAGTTTTGGTTAATTGAAACTACATTGAACATTTTCTATCATAAAACCATATCGGCTCAAAATGTTTTTCCTTTAAAAGGAGCAAAAGCTTTAATGTGTGATGTTAAACAAATATTAGAAATATTCCCCAACACCAAAACTAAACGCAAAGTGCTTAAAGTACTTTTTGCCAACGACGTTGGCATCTTCAAAAGCACTTTGTGTTTTGTTTTGTTTTTTACGAATATTTCTAATATTTGTTTAGTTTTATGGTATGTTTATTGATTGAAAAACGATTTGAATTATTGTTCCTATTAGGTGGCCCCTAAGAAATCTGGATCTACCCTAGGATGACAGTGTCGATGGTTAAGGCCACTTCCGGATTTTTGTCGCCGGGTCATGCCATACGCCCAGTTTAGGCTAGTGGAGAGCGGGTAAATGTTGGTTTTTGGAGGACATTGAACTGACCCAAAACTAAGTACAATCCGGAATCCTATTCAACCGGGGCTTTAGTAATAACCCCATTCATGAATGGGGGTAAAAGTGTTAGTACGCTGCTAGAACCTGTTCTAAACGTCTCTGTCTCTTTGGAATTATTTGCCCCCCTGTGAGATACTGAATCTTGTCTTCTTTGCATTCTTACTTTTTCCAAAGTTGGACTTTTGTTTCTTGGGTTTGGTTCAAGAAGGATATGTACAAGTTTACCTATTAGAAAAGCACCCTGTATAAAACATCAAAGCACCGCAGCTTAAAATATACAAAAAAAATATATTATTGAAAATTCCATTGCATTTATATGAGGATTTGTCGAAATCCTGTCCTTTGGAAAAATGCCCAATTAAATTTGCCTATTTAATAAAATATATTGGTTGACATCAAAAAGCTTGTAAAAAGTTTGAAAGGAAAATGGGGCACATAACCGTTTCCACTTTAAATTGCCGAACCCGCTGTCTGGATGACTAAAGTTTTCAACTTTTAGAAACTTTTTTTTAATTCCATAGATTTTATCTATGAACAAATTATCGGCTGGGATTTAAATTGCGATATCAAAAGAAAAAACAAATATTGCAAAGATTTTTTGTCGTTTGTAAATATATTAAATTCTAACGTCAAACCTCTAGTAAAAAGAATGTGCCCCAAACCAGAAAGAAAGAGGATTGGGACGCGATCTTGAAGGTTATTAATTAGTTTACTCTGGCCATTAGTTTTTCGCTTGACAAAATGGACAAGTGTTTTTGTTTTTTTCTTATTCTTAATT